ATTGTCAATCAGTGTTGCTTCCTAAGTGGACAGTTTGATTTCACAGAAGTGTGATTGACTTGGAGTTACATTGTGTTGTTTAAGTGTTCCCTTTATTTTTTTGAGCAGTGTATTTCAACATGACTCAATACATGTCACGGTCGAGGTAAGGAGTAGACCAAGGCGCAGCGTGATGAACAAACATGACTTTAATAGTTAAAGCACGAAACAAAACAAGAAACGACTCGTGACGTCCACGGTATCAATGACCGAACACGGAACAAAAACCCACAACCACAAAGGGAAAACATACAGTTTAAATATGGCTCCCAATCAGAGACAACCAGCCAACAGCTGACACTCGTTGCCTCTGATTGGGAGTCACTCAGGCAAAACATAGAAATCAACACAACAGAATTACCAACATAGAAATACACACAAGAATGAAAACACCCTGGCTTAACATAGTGAGTCCCAGAGCCAGGGTGTGACAATACATGTCAAACAGCATACTGGAAACACACAGACAGTAATAATGCTAACATACAGTAAATATATTTTGCATATGCAAACAAAGAAAAATAGGTATATTTGTACTACTGTACAGTATGTTAGATCAATTTTACGGAATAGTTAAAGAAACTGTTAAATACAGTAAAATCAAAATCCTAAGTGAAGAAACAAATACTCCATTGTGAAAACAAAATCAGTCATGTCTGTTGTTTTGGTCCGGCCACAGTTTTTCATCAACATCACAGGCGATATTCTCCTTGGCCAGACAGCGGGGAAAATATCTCCTGGCATGACGCATCCACCCCTGACAGGACTCAGCTGGAACGTCACCACAGGCCATTGCCTGGAGAAGGGCCATACGTTCATGGGGTTTGCGATCATACACCTTCCACCACCATGCTGAAAACTTCTCCTCAGTGGGGTTGAGAAATGGGGAATATGGTGGGAGATAGATAATTGTAAACCTGGGATGGTTATGGAACCATTTGCGGACCTGAGCAGCCCGATGGAAACTCACGTTGTCCCAAATTAGAACATACATTTGCTGCTCAGGATCACCTGGCCCTCTCTGCTCTGGCTGAAAAAGATTGTAATGTAAGGTGTTCAGGAAATGAAGGAGATGGGCAGTGTTGTATGGTCCAATGGTGGCATGGCGGTGGAGGACCCCATTGTGGCTCATAGCTGCTCATATGGTGACATTTCCCCCGCGCCGGCCAGGTACCTCAATGATGGCGCGTTGACCAATGATGTCCCTTCTTCTCCTCCTCGTCTTCGCTAAATTGAGTCCATTGTTCGCTAAATTGAATATGAGTTCCTGGGGGATGGGACTTGCATCCAACTCCATGATTCTCTAAAATGACAGTAAATACTGTATTTGCTGTATAGTAAATTTCACTGGCAACATCAATGAGTCTCTAATGTTTCAAAAGTATAATACTAGTACATTACTTACTTGCACATATTCATACCGTTTATCCTTCACTCTTTGGGAATTCCTTTCAAATGGGACTCTGTAGATTTGCTTCATCTGGAGATGGTGTTTCTTAAGGATGTGGGCTATGGTTGATAAGCTCACTCTGATGTTATGGAAGATGGCAGTGTTTTCAATAATTTGTTGTTGGATTTCCCGCATTCTTACGGCATTATTTTCAACTACCATTTGCACAATGGCAGCCTCCTGTTGGTCTGTAAATAGACGCGTTCTACCACCGCGTGGTGGTCGTCTTTCAGTTCTACAAAAACAAAATAGCATACAGTACAGTAAACTCTACAGTAATACAGTATACAACATAAACATGTGACAAAGTAGTATAGCTCCCAATTTCATACATACATTAATACATGAAATGTTTACTTTGCTTCCCCTTACAGTGTGTATTGGAATCTACAGTCTTTACTGTGATTTATGTTGTACTGTCAAGTAGTAAAAGTAGTAGATATGTCCTATATCTGCAGTACATACCTATTCTCATTTTTGGAACGTCCGGATGATGGATGCTACGGTGAAGCGGCTCAGTTTGGGCTGCCCTCTCTGCCCTTGAGAGAGGTCTCAAGGTCAAACATGGTTGACCACATGGTCCACCACAGTCACCCGAATTTCATCAGAGATTACTCTCCTTGTTCTTGGTCTTGGTCTTCCTCCACCTCCACCTCCACCGCTCTCTGCCAAGTTTGCTTCCATTGTTCAATTGTTCATTGGACTTTTTATCCATACCAAAGGTCTGATTGCAAAGTGAGAATTTACACAATTAGTGTTTGCATGTGTGAAGAGTGAAAGGTAATTGGTAATTGAGCTTAGCTTGTTGAGCAGTGTTGCTTTTAATTTTTCACACAATACATTTTACTTTTGAAGGTTGTGTGAAAGGTAGAGAATGTAGTGTTGTGTTTTGCCAAATGTTTGTTATAGAATTGCAATCTGAGTGTAAAGCAAAACATGTGCCAGTAGTATTACAGATGTGGTGTATGGTTCTGCTAAATTAGTTTCAGGTTTGGGTCATTGTGCCTCATGGGCCAGTTTTAGTGTGTAAACAATTGGGAAAACTGCAATACACCAATTGTAACATAATATTCTCTTACCAAATTTAAATAAGTACCGCCTTCTAAACAATATCGGAGAAGGCGTGTTTGCAGAGGGGCATGGTGTATATACAGTGCATTCGGAAAGTATTCAGACCCCTTCACTTTTTCCACATTTTGTTACGTTACAGCCTTATTCTAAAATTGTTTACATTGTTTTTTTCCTCATCAATCTACACACAACACCCCATAATGACAACAGCAAAAACAGGCAACATTTTTGCAAATGTATTAAAGTATTCAGACCCTTTGCTATGAGACTCGAAATTGAGCTCAGATGCATCCTGTTTCCATTGACAATCCTTGAGATGTTTATACAACTTGATTGGAGTCCACCTGTGGTAAATTCAATTGATTGGACATGATTTGGAAAGGCACACACCTATCTATATAAGGTCCCACAGTTGACAGTGCATGTCAGAGCAAAATCCAAGCCATGAGGATGAAGGAATTGTCCGTAGAGCTCCGAGACAGGATTGTGTCGAGGTACAGATCTGGGGAAGGGTACCAGAAAATTGAAGGTCCCCAAGAACACAGTGGCTTCCATCATTCTTAAATGGAAGAAGTTTGGAACCACCAAGACTCTTCCTAGAGCTGGCCGCCCTAGCCAAACTGAGCAATCGGGGGAGAAGGGCCTTGGTCAGGGAGGTGACCAAGAACCCAATGGTCACTCTGACAGAGCTCCAGAGTTCCTCTGTGGAGAAGGGAGAACCTTCCAGAAGGACAACCATCTCTGCAGCACTCCACCAATCAGGCCTTTATGGTAGAGTGGCCAGACGGCAGTGACTCCTCAGTAAAAGGCACATGACAGCCTGCTTAGTGTTTGCAAAAAATGCACCTAAAGGACAAGATTCTCTGGTCTAATGAAACCAAGATTGAACTCTTTGGCCTGAATGCCAAGCGTCACGTATGGAGGAAACCTGGCACCATCCCTAGGGTGAAGCATGGTGGTGGCAGCATCAAGCTGTGGGGATGTTTTTCAGCGACAGGGACTGGGAGACTAGTCAGGGTTGAGGGAAAGATGTACGGAGCAAATCCTGAGGGATCCTTGATGAAAACCTGCTCCAGTGCGCTCAGGACCTCAGACTGGGGCAAAGGTTCACCTTCCAACAGGACAACGACCCTAAGCACACAGTCAAGACAACGCAGGAGTGGCTTCGGGACAACTCGCTGAATGTCCTTGAGTGGCCCAGCCAGAGCCCGGACTTGAACCCGATTGAACATCTCTGGAGAGACCTGAAAATAGCTGTGCAGCAACACTCCCACACCCAACATTACAGAGTTTAAGAGAATCTGCAGAGAAGAATGGGAGAAACTCCCCAAAGGTGCTTCAACAAAGTACTGAGTAAAGGGTCTGAATAGTTACATTCTTTATGAATTTGATAGTTAGCCATGAGAGGAAAAGTAATTTTTCTAAATATTTGTGCATTTCTATCCTCCAAAAATGTTATGGGTGATATTGTAGTCACTCAAAAGGCTATTTTACATGGGAATCAGAATGACTGTTTGGGACCTTTAACCTTGAAAAAGAATCACACTCATTGATCTCCCTGTTCTCTGTTTATTGGTTGACAGAATACACCAAGCCAATCCCTTATCCAATCAGTTATGTACTGACTCACAGAATTCAAAGGTAGAGGGTGTGTGTGTGCGTGAGTAAGCTGCAGTCTGTCTCTAACCTCTGACCTGTCACTTCCGAAGATAGGAAGTGTTCCTGTTCTTGTTCCTGCATAACTTAACGCATACTGCACACACACACACACACACACACACACACACACACACACACACATACACCACAGACATTTAATTCTCTTCTCTCGTCACCATCTCCATTTAGCTTTCACACTTACCCAAATTGACCAGGAAATGAGTAGACAGAACAAAGGACCAAATCATGCATCTACAGCAGAAATGTCAATCAGTTACAGAGCTTAGCTTCATTACTGCATTATACACACACCCTCCCAAATACTGATGACCTTGTCTTGAGACGAAGTCCAGAGAAGGTACGTTTTTAGTAGAAAGAAGTGCCACTTCTAATGCTAATTGAATGACGTTGCCAGATATTTAAATAGTGAAATATCACTCACTTAATTGAACTCGTCCAATGCTGGTACACCACCAAAGTCTTTTAATAGATAGAATAGTGTCTAACCTAAAAAGCATCTTACCCCATGCCAGGAAATGGTGTCTACCCCAGAAGAAAGAAATGGAGCATTCAGATGCCTGCAGTGATCTTTGAGGTTTATTAGGGATGGACAAACAGACACACATACTAATGGTGTGGTGTCTTAGTTGCCTTCCTCAGAGCCTTTAGTAGTTTAATCTTCTTTAATTAATCAGTCAATCAATCAACCAACAATAAACCACTCAATCAATCAAGCAATCCATCAATCTAACCCCATCTTTCTCTGTCTTCCCCTATAGGTTTCGGGATGTCCACTCCGGTGACGGTAGCAGGGAAGGTGTTCCTGATCTTCTACGGTCTCCTTGGCTGCGCCGCCACCATCTTGTTCTTTAACCTCTTCCTGGAACGCATTATCACCCTCCTGGCCGTGGTAATGAAGGCCGTGAGGGAACGCCGCATCCGGAACTCCGGCCTCCTCCCGCCGGGTATCCGCCATGACTTCTCGGCGCGTTCTTTCCCGGGGTGGAAGCCGTCGGTCTACCACGTAATGTTGATCCTGGGGCTGTCTGCCATCATAATCTCCTGCTGCGCCTCAGCCATGTACACCCCTGTGGAGGGATGGGCCTACCTGGACTCACTCTACTTCTGTTTCGTCACATTTAGGTAAGGTAGCCTACTAGAGTTTGGAGGTTGGAGAGGTGGGCCAGCTGTCTGTACAAATCTTGAGTCTGACTGTGGGGGAAATCTGGTGGGGAATGAGCTGGGGAGTAAATCAGATGCTGGCATCCTAGAGTATCCATGATATCATATCCTGTTGTTGTGCCCATGAGCAAGGCACTGCACTGTGGCTGGCCTGTTCTTCAACCTCTCCGTGGTGTGTGTGTATGTGTGTGTGTGTGTGTCTCGGGTAGGGTCGCAAAAAAACAATTTGGAAGATTATTGGAATTAGGAGGGAATAAACAGGAAATATCTGGCTATCCTCCAACCGGGATTTCTGGATAACTGCGGAATTTGTGGAAAGTTACTGGAATTTTGCAAACCTAGTTATTTTTCTCCTCCTCCTCTTCCTCTTCTTCTCCCTCTTTCTCTTCCTCCTCCCTCGTCAGCACCATCGGCTTCGGGGACCTAGTGTCAAGCCAGAGAGCGGACTATGAGTACCAGCCGCTGTACCGTCTGGCCAACTGCTTGTTCATCCTCATGGGCGTGTGCTGCATCTACTCCCTGTTCAACGTTATCTCCATCGTCATCAAACAGGTAGATTTAGAACAATGACCACAATGGAAATAATTCTGTCGACAATATTGTATTTTTAATCCTCAATCATTATTTATGTATGTATTGTTGTGTTCAATTGGCTGAGGCAACTCTATCTGTAACTCTATCTGTATTTTAAATGTCTAATCAAATTCCTTCCTTCCTTCCTTCAGGTGCTCAACTGGATGCTTCAGAACCTGTGCTGCCAGCGGTGCAACATCAGGTCCAACTCCTTTCCATTGGGACGCCGCAACGCCATCCGGCCCGGGTCGAGAATCCGTAAGGGCCGCTTCGGAATTGGACGCCCGCCGGACTCTGGGGATTCGGGACCCTGCGACAGCGACACGGAGGGAGGAGGACGAAGACTCTCTGGAGAGATGATTTCGATGAAGGACCTGACGGCCTCGAATAAGGTCTCACTGGCACTCATGCAGAAGCAGTTATCAGAGTCGGCTAACGGTTATCCCAGGACGGTGTGTGGCGGCTCGAGACATAACGGGTTCTCTGGAGGAGTGGGCGCTCTGGGGATCATGAACAACAGACTGGCAGAGACCAGCAACTCCAGGTAGACCTGAGCAGTGTTTCTGAACTTCTGGTCCTTGGACAGGCGCTGGTCCGTGGGATGTGGACTTTTGGTCGGTGAGATGATTGGCTGACTTAATGTAAGCAGTCCCCCACGGAGTAAAGACCATAGCTTGTCAGTCTCTGACACTAGAGGGACCATAGCCTGCTGGTCCCTAACATAATAAAAAGGTTGGTATAAAAGGTTGAGACACACTGGAGTAGACCCCTGCAGGGTTGTGGAGAATGTGAAGGAGACTGAGACTGATGGGGAGAGAAACTGAGAGGAGCTTTAAGGTCTAATGTGATGAACTTTATTTGCTATCACTCTTGTCATGCTTGATTATGTTTTGTTATTCAATGGAAGAGCATAAAGATATGCATGAAACTGTTTGGACATTTTTGGGGATGGAATCAACATCCTGTGATGATGATGATATGAGACAGTTGGAATGATACTATGGGAAGGAAAGGAACCTTCTTGTAACTGTACTTTTGAAGGTCAAAACACTTGAGGCAACAAGGAAGGAATTAGTATAGCATGAGGTCATAAGCCAATATATTGCTCTCTTTGACTCGAAGCCATGGTGAACATTTTTACTGTTATACCATTGGCATTCTTCAGAAGAATTAGTTAGCCATACCTGAGTAAATCTCTGAGGCTGTAAGTATCAAACGTCTCAGATAAGAAGTGCTGATATAGGATCAGTTTAGCCTTTCAGATCAAATTGAATACAGGAACAGGAGGGGCCTGATCCTAGATCAGCACTCCTTCTCCAAGATGCTTGATACATACTGCTCCAGATCAATTTGACTTCTACAGCGTACTGTACTGGAAGAGGCAACTCTGTGTGATCATTGTGACATTATCATCACTATCGCTTCTGAGCTTTTTCAATAAGTATGGCATTTATAAGTAGATTTGAATGTATAGGTTGAGTTGGTACTGTACCTATAATTTCAACACAAAGATAACTACAGTATGATATAGTACATATATAACTATGCATTACATGTCTCATCGTGAAGAACAATAGGAACTCATCAACATATCTGATCCATTTACAGACCAGTCCTGAAGTATTGAAGCTGAACCATAGAGAGAGCATAACTTCACCTTAGTGATGGCAAACCTAGTCTCTACCATAGAAATAGAATGACCAGAATGAACATTCAAGCCATTCATTTCAATGCTCTGTAATAGGTGGACCGGTACCCATATTGATTGTACCTATGCGAGGAAGCACAAGCAACAAGTCATAATATTTCAATGGTCTCCACCAATCATCTTGATACTAGTCTAATCTTAAGCTCAGGTGACTGATTCTTGTGGGGGAAGAGGAGACCAGTTCAGCACGTCCCAAATTGTTTGTAAAGTGGAAGCAATATGGTGGAAGCTTCAACACTACACTGCTTATACCTACCCAGACCCTTCGGATAGATCTGCAAACGTTGAGGGGTTAGGGACAAGGGGGAAGGGTAGGAATATAATTCAGACTGGCTGGTGTTGTATTGGGTTTATGCTACTGCTGTAGTGTGTGATGTAGCCTACAGACCAGCTCTGTTATGTCAGTCAGTTCAGTGAGCTCCTAGTTAGAGATTCTGCACTGAGCCTGACAGCAGGGCTTCAAACAGTCATTTCCTATTTCTCAAGATGGACGAATGCAGAGAGGAGAGAGAGGGAGAGAGGAGAGAGAGGGAGAGAGGAAGAGAATGAAAGTCGAGGGCCTCCTAGGAAAGTAAGTAGGGTTCTTATCGGCTCAGAACATGTTTTAGGGCAGAGAGTGTTTGACTTACTTTATCGGTGTGTGCAGGCAAAAACTCCTCTTCTCTTCCCCTCTTCTCTTCTTTTCTCTTCCCCTGTTCTCTTCTCCTCTCCTCTTCCCCTGTTCTCTTCCCCTGTTCTCTTCCCCTGTTCTCTTCCCCTGTTCTCTTCTCCTCTTCTCTTCCCCTGTTCTCTTCTCCTCTCCTCTCCTATTCTCTTTCAACTGAACTAAATCTGCCTGTAAGAAAAATAAAACTGGAAAACGAGCAAAATATAAAAGTGTGCAACCTGATAATTACAATGAACATTAAATAAGATGTATTTCTATAAAAGGACTAATGAAGAGGAAGGTATAGCTTGGTGAATAAGGGGATGCTATACAGGTACTTTAAATGTTAAATGGAGCAAATTTGGGAGAAGGAGAGTCGATTGAAGACATTAAAGATGAAAACTAGTTTCCCTTGTAGCCTTTCATCTCAAAGGATTCTCACACTTGACTGTCATTGATTCTCCTCGGTACAGATTTACAGGTCTTTGAGAGAGAGAGAGAGAGAGAGAGAGTCCTTGAAAGACAGGCATGCATGTAGAATTAAAAGGTAAATAGATAAATAGAGTGGAAAAATAGAGCGAAAAACAGAGACAGAGAAAGAGAGAGAGAGAGTGAAAGAGAGAGAGAAAGAAAGGACAGATACAGAGAGCAGAGAGGAGGAAAGAGATAAATACACAGAGCAGACATAGAGAAAGAAAGAGAGAGAGAGAGAGAGAGAGAGAGAGATAGAGACAGAGAGAGAAAGTGAGATAGAGACCCCCTCCCAGATCCAGATACACAGAATAGCACAGCCAAGAGCTCAACTCTCACTGGCGTCCATCATTAGTATCTCTCTCCCTAGTCCACCCACGCCTGCTATTGCCTGCAGGCTCTGCCATCTCTGCATTCAGCTCAGTCACACAGCAACACACACAAACCGTACCCTCCCTCTCCGACCATCCTGTTAGGTTTGGCTTTCTTCTCAGACTTATCAGTCAGACATCTCTCTGTATATAACAACACCATGACTGTAAATATAGCACTGGAACGTCTTATGAAAACGCATCTTGATAAACCGGAAATTACAAATAGATCCTTTGTTCTCCATGGGTGCATCCCAAATGGCATCCTATTGACTATTTTCACCCTATTAAGTGCACTACTTTGATCCCGGGGTCATAGGGCTCTGGTAGTGCACTATACAGTGAGGGAAAAAAGTATTTGATCCCCTGCTGATTTTGTACGTTTGCCCACTGACAAAGAAATGATCAGTCTATACATTTAATGGTAGGTTTATTTGAACAGTGAGAGACAGAATAACAACAAAAAAATCAAGAAAAACGCATGTCAAAAATGTTATAAATTGATTAGCATTTTATTGAGGTAAATAAGTATTTGACCCCCTCTCAATCAGAAAGATTTCTGGCTCCCAGGTGTCTTTTATACAGGTAACGAGCTGAGATTAGGAGCACACTCTTAAAGGGAGTGCTCCTAATCTCAGCTTGTTGCCTGTATAAAAGACACCTGTCCACAGAAGCAATCAATCAATCAGATTCCAAACTCTCCACCATGGCCAAGACCAAAGAGCTCTCCAAGGATGTCAGGGACAAGATTGTAGACCTACACAAGGCTGGAATGGGCTACAAGACCATCGCCAAGCAGCTTGGTGAGAAGGTGACAACAGTTGGTGCGATTATTCGCAAATGGAAGAAACACAAAAAGAACTGTCAATCTCCCTCAGCCTGGGGCTCCATGTAAGATCTCACCTCGTGGAGTTGCAATGATCATGAGAACGGTGAGGAATCAGCCCAGAACTACACGGGAGGATCTTGTCAATGATCTCAAGGCAGCTGGGACCATAGTCACCAAGAAAACAATTGGTAACACACTACGCCGTGAAGGACTGAAATCCTGCAGCGCCCGCAAGGTCCCCCTGCTCAAGAAAGCACATATACAGGCCCGTCTGAAGTTTACCAATGAACATCTGAATGATTCAGAGGAGAACTGAGTGAAAGTGTTGTGGTCAGATGAGACCAAAATCGAGCTCTTTGGCATCAACTCAACTCGCTGTGTTTGGAGGAGGAGGAATGCTGCCTATGACCCCAAGAACACCATCCCCACCGTCAAACATGGAGATGGAAACATTATGCTTTGGGGGTATTTTTCTGCTAAGGGGACAGGACAACTTCACCGCATCAAAGGGACGATGGACGGGGCCATGTACCGTCAACTCCTGGGTGAGAACCTCCTTCCCTCAGCCAGGGCATTGAAAATGGGTCGTGGATGGGTATTCCAGCATGACAATGACCCAAAACACACGGCCAAGGCAACAAAGGAGTGGCTCAAGAAGAAGCACATTAAGGTCCTGGAGTGGCCTAGCCAGTCTCCAGACCTTAATCCCATGAAAATCTGTGGAGGGAGCTGAAAGTTTGAGTTGCCAAACGTCAGGTTCGAAACCTTAATGACTTGGAGAAGATCTGCAAAGAGGAGTGGGACAAAATCCCTCCTGAGATGTGTGAAAACCTGGTGGCCAACTACAAGAAACGTCTGACCTCTGTGATTGCTAACAAGGGTTTTGCCACCAAGTACTAAGTCATGTTTTGCAGAGGGGTCAAATACTTATTTCCCTCATTAAAATGCAAATCAATGTATAACATTTTTGACATGCGTTTTTCTGGATTTCTTTGTTGTTATTCTTTCTCTCACTGTTCAAATAAACCTACCATTAAAATTACAGACTGATCATGTCTTTGTCAGTGGGCAAACGTACGAAATCAGCAGGGGATCAAATACTTTTTTCCCTCACTGTATAGGGAATTTGGAACACATACCATGTCTTTTTGCAGATAGATACCACATCTATAGGCTGGAATGTTTCTGTTGCTCTGTCCCCGGGTTAAAAAAGAACTAGAGAAAATTACTCAGGTACTTGAGACTTCAGGCTTGTTGTAGTTACCTGCATGCTGTTATCGTAAAGCCATACGAGATCGTTGTATATAAAACAGAGATTACTCTTTGAAATATATTTTTCTATATCTGTAAATAACATACAGTATAAAGGAGAAGGTGAATGACACAGTTAGTTTGCTTTCCTGTCTAGAGAATAATTGAATATGATATGAACGTGTGTACCCTGCTTTTAGTTCTACATTTGATCTCCAGATGAAGCCATATTAGTGTATGGATGAACACCATATACAGGGCCATCTCTTTCT